GAACGCCAGCTTGCCGTCTCCACGGCTCTTTAAAACCTACTGTTAGTGTAGTGGGGCCTGTCCTTCCACTCCTCTCTCGGTCAGAATGCGGGAAACCACCGAGTTGGGCTTGGACTGAGGAAAACTCATCTTCGTTATGTTGCAAGAAATCACAGATGTTTTGAGAAACGATTTTTGTTAAACCAGATAGTGAACTTCAGCCACTATTGGGGAGATATTTTCCTATTCATTGTTTTCATTTAATGCTAAATTTACTTTATATTTTAAAAATAATTTTAAGAACACTCTAGAGGCTTCTGAAAATACCAGTTTAGTTGTAAATTATGTATTGTCTGGGAATTTGATAGTTATTGTTTTAGATAATTGGGATTTTATGCTGTGGTCAGTGTGCCGTTGCACTAGGATTGCACAGTGTCCTTGATCATCCAGTCCGTCACAGGAGAGCTGGGGGCGGTGCCACAAACGAGAGTACCATTCTCACTGTTTGGAGAGTGTTATTGACATACTGTGTATGCATATTAGCCACATGTACTATATAACTTAAAATTAAAGTATTGGGATTGCTGTAAATATTTTAAAGAACTGGAGGTGCCTTTTACCTGTTTATTAGAAGATTTTGAGGTTTAAATTATTTCAAGAGCAATCTTTTAAATTTCTTTTGACATAAAGCTGTAAATTCAGTAATAGGACAGACTTTTTAACCAGGCTACCATTTCATGAAACGTGTTCATCCTGGCTTTCACGTGCATCAGATTTTATTCTTTGAACTGTAGCAATAAAACCCTCTGCTCCTAAGAAGTCTTAAGAGGATATTCTCCGTATTCTGCATTGTTTTATTTTCTGTAAATTTTGTAGGTAAATATGTGCATAAAAATAAAGACTTTATATATAATCGGTGATTGGGCTTTTTTCTTGGTTTATTGTAACTCAGTACAGGCTAGCTCCAAATGAGATATTTTATTTTAATCCTGTCAGTAGAGCAAATTTCCAGTAGCACTTGTACATACCCCATTTATTCGGCTATAACTTTGCCTTCCTCATTGTCTAATAACATTTGGCTCTTAATCAGGAAGTGCAGGTTTTCTCAAACTTGCCTTTCCAGCTTCCTGCAAGAAGATAGGTTGGACGTAGATAATAGTGTGGTAAAGGCCTGGGGAGCGAGTGGGAGGAGAAAGGTGGGCGTCAGTGGGGATAAAAGGGGTATCTGTAATACTTTAAACAGTAACGATTAAGAAGAGGAACTTGTTAGGTCCTTAGATCTTTCTGGAATTATCAGCTACTTTGAGTATTTTGATTAAAGCCCTGCAGCTTCTCCCCTAGAAAGATAGGCTGTGTACATGCACACACTTTGCATGCATTTGTAGAGGATTTCCCAGGCTTCCTGGCACCAGCCTCCTTGGAGTCTCCAAGAAAGAAACTTTCGTAAAAGGTTTTTCACACTTTTACTTCTAGCAGAAAAATTCGTTTACCAAGCGAACCTTGGCTCTGGTTGAAATAGGCCCAAGGGTTGTTGCCAAATTAGTTTCTCCTCGCCACTCCTCACCCTCATACCTGCTTCCACACTACCAGGCGGGTGTTAGTGGAGGCCAGCCCTCTGGGTTTACAGGCGGGGGAGGAGGA